CAAATCATCAACTCCCATGATCCTGGACCGATCTTACCTAGGATCGCAAATCCCAAATTTGTAACTCGGGTAAGCGTTAACGAAGTTATATCATCTTAGCGGATGCATATGACAAAGACCAAGAATCTTACCCAGTAAAAACGAGGCAAAGATTAATAGTCTTACCCAACAAGTGAGAACGATAATTCTTATCACCATCAACGTTTATCACGTAAATTATTGCATATGATGAAAAGAGTCAAGAAAATTAATATTATATGTACAAAAATTAATCATTGTATATTGTAGATCACATTTAATAGATATAACATGATAATAAATTCATTTAATGAAGGTTGGCCTATGGGTTCATCGAATTAAATGGAGTGGGGTCCACACATAGGGTATGAAATTGACGCCATACTTCGGTCAGGGTCGTGTGCAAGTCAGCGTACGTAAGTGTTAATAACTATTACCATGTATAAAATGCTATATTTTTTTATTTATTTAAAATGCTTTATTTTTATCTGATATTTATGTACGATTTTATTTTCCAAATATACAGTTGACTTTTTATAAGTCTCCTTCCAATCACAACCTCGAATCCGATATAGAGTTGCATATGAGTCCGATGTTACATGTTTGTTTCGGTTTTAAAAGCATCAACGTTAGGGGCTCTTTTGGACCGTCTTTGATCGTAACATGAAAAAGTCACATCCAAATGAACTGATCCTTTTGTAATTGGGACAAAAAACAACCATGTTTCCTAGTCGGTGTAAGGGACCGTTTATCAAACGTTTACCCAAGTAGGCACTTACCAAGTTACATTACCTCATCGGATGAATATGATAAGGACCAAAAATCTTACTCGGTAAGATCGAGACAAGGACCATGAGTCTTACCCGGCAAGTGAGGACGACGAGTCTTACCACGGTAAGCGTTTACCGGGAAAATTGTTGTATACGATGTCGTTTTGGTTAACTAAAATCTTATTCGTTATGTAAATAATAATGTTAAATTTTACCGATAAACACTTAACGGGTAAATGTTTGGTAAATGGCCCCTAAGTCTTTTGAGTTTGAATGTGCCATATAGATGCTCAATATAAACATTTGGAGTAACTTAACTAGTAAGAGCTTGAGTTCGCTCCTTATGTAGAAGCAGATCCAATTCTTTGCTCGATGCTAGCACAAAATAACTATTGTAATATAAAATAAAATATATAATATAATCTATACTATATTATAACGCATTTGACAAAAACTCTTATAAACCGTTTTTTATACATGAAGTACTATATATTGATGCATATTACTTAAAATTCAAAATTACAAGTAAATTATACATAACTACAACTTATTAAAGTTCCTTGATTGAATTCTTGTAATTAACTGTGGATTAACATAATCAAATAGAGGATAAACATCTCATTTTAAAATATAAAAAATTTAAAATATAATTAGGATAATTACCGAATTCTAGCATAATGTTTAATTATTATCTTTATAAAAAATTATATTATTAACCAAAAAATAAATTATTTTGTTAATATAAATTGAATTATAATAAAAAAAATTGAATTAAAGAACTTATACCAAAGAAACGAGAACTATTAAATAGTTAATTTGATACTAATATAGATTTTTTTTCAAAATTTTATGCTATCTTCAAATTTATATTTCATTTAAAAATAAAAAACATCATCGACTTCTCAAAACCACATAAAGTCATATTATATCGATAGAGAAAGAATAAAAACTAAACATTAAAATCGAGATTTATCTCGCTGCATTACACGAGTACCCTTCTAGTATAATAAAAATAAAAATTTAATCATAGTTACGTATCACCATGAAACCAATTTCAATGATTTTTTTTATTTATAAAAACAGCTATATATTATAACCAAACAGAAACAAAAAGGGTTACAACACAAAATGACTTAACGAAAACCAACCTACCATCTACAAGGCGTAGAAACTAGGAAGGCCACAACCGAAACCCAATAAAAACCAAGGCCGGACACCCAACGAGACGAAAGCGACAAACCAAAAAACAAAAAAAATGACCACAACCTTCTAATAAGAACATGCAACCGGAGTACAACACCACAACGGCCAAGACCTAGAGAAAACTTTAACCTAATGAGACAACCATCAGAACAAGGCAAGTTGGATATCGATCCACAAGTCACCACCACCACGAAGATTGCTGAATACAAGCTTATTACAAGAGTTGCAAATCTAGTAAAGGGAGATCCAAACTATGGCCGACCACAACTTACCCACTGGGGACAACAAAGAAAACAACTTGGATAAAGTCTAAACGTCCAAAACCGAAGCAATAGCCCATGGTTCGAAGCCCACTGCTTCAGGAATCCCACTCCACAACTCCAGGATCAAAGAGCATTCCGCAAAGCAATGGTCCATCAATTTGACCATGCTGTCAACCCCCAATTGATTTACGTTTAGGGTCTTTGTGTTCCCCATTACTAATTACTAAAACTCAAATTTTAGTTTCGATACTACTATACCCTCTCAATATAGTTTGATTTTTTTTACATTATGACCGAAAATATTAGTGTTATCTTCAGTCTGATGTCACTTACCTTGTAAGTAGATCTGCTTATATCCCCAATGATCCGGTTCAAGTTTCTTTAGAACTGTTGAAAATGTGTTTGACTCTTAATTTCAGGACTTAATAAAATTAATGGATATCTACATAAATATATTTTAGTGTTAAGTGACTTGGGATCATGTGAGACAAAATGTTTTTCGTGAAACCCGTAAGACCAATTCTCAACCCTTGGATTAGATCTACAATCTGAACATTCATAATCATAAAATTGCCACGAGACTTTTCAATAATCACAAAATTGCCACCGTGCAACTTTAGACTATTAGATCATTAACTTATAAAGTTGATCAATGAACATAAATTGGTCTTACGGGTCTCACGAAAAACCTTTGATCTCACGTAAATCCAATCCAGTGTCAAGTTGTATCATATATAATTATAAATAAAGAATAAAATATTATAATTAAATGGATTAAATAATAAAACTAAAATAATAAATAAAGACGACTTTTGACGAAGTCCAAGTGGAAGTCAAGCGATGGTTGAGATTTTTACTGCCGAATATATTCGCATTTACTAAAATATATATTTAATTAATTATTAAAAAAAGCCTGGTCCCCACTTTTTCGAACTAACTCCTATTTTTTACAGGTCAAACGAGTCCCTACACTCAGGAAAGAAAAATCGAATATTCCAAAAACACCAACCTCTTACCGTCTCCTAAAGTTAGGTCGTCTTTGGTTAGTAATATGTATTTAGATAGAATTAAATTTGTTAAAAGAATGGGACTTTCAAGAAATTAAAATGGAATGTTGTCAGATTTGACTATCTGTTTGATTGGTAGACATCAGAATGGAAACTGTTAAGAACTTGGAATCTGTCTATTTGTTTCATATAATGTAGCTTTGGAATTCATTTGGATATTGGTAAATGACCAAAATGTCATTTTTGTCTTTTTAAAACTAAATATACTTTAATAAAAATAATGATTTAATGTGTAAAACAATATAAAATAGACAAACCCAAATATAACTATAAACCAAACGACGTTACTAAATCGATATTAGAATTGTCTCAAAATAGCTAATTTTTATAATGTAAAATAGTTAATTCGATGGTGGTCGGAGATGGTTCAAACCGGCGGTGGTCGACCATGGTCCAGATGGCGGTGGTTCAGATCGGTGGTGGGCGACCATGGTTCAGACGGCGGTAGTCTGCAGTGGTTCAGATGGCGGTGGTCGGTAGTTGTTTAGATCGATGGTGGTTCAGATCGTGGTCCATAAATATTTTTTGAACCAAAAAATATTTAGACCTATAAAATTAAACAAATATAACAAAAAAGTACTTACATTTAAAAATAATAATTACATTTAAATTTTTTTTGATAAATTTTTTTTTAATTATAATTAAAATATATTATGTCATTGATTTTTCAAACAAAAAATAATAATTACATTTAAAAAAGACATTTTTCACTATTTTACCACATTAACTAGTTGTACAAGTCATAAGAATGTATCCAACAGGTTTTAGAAAAGTCCAAGAAGTTATTTAACATGTTTTGGATTATTCAGGGACTTATTTGTTTCAAAAAATTGTTCAATGAGTTATTTAACATGTTTTAAATTGTCCAAGGACTTATTTGTTCTAAAAAATTGTTCAATGAGTTATTTAACATGTTTTGGAATGTTCAATGACTTATTTGTTTAAAAAAATTGTCCAAAAACTTAATTATTCCAAAAACTAAAGTCTATTGGGTTTTTTTAGACTTTTTCCATTAATAAATGGTTTAAATTATGAATTTAATGGATGTGACACCCCATGTTTTAAATTATTGAATATCACGTCTATTTTATATATAATTTTTAAATATTTTTATATAGAAATATCTAAATAAAGATCACAAACAACAAACAACACATTTTTTGAAAAAAAAAATTTGCTTTAAAATATTAAAGTCTTTGGAAATTTACTTGTCAAAGTGATAATTACAAGGAAAATAATATTAAATCCAAAAGTTGAAATAAATTAATCACAAGAACCAAAATTAAATATTTATCTTGGAAATTAAATTAAATTAAATTAAATTCATTTTTTATAGCAGTCGTTGAACAATAAGAAGAATCTGGCACGGTGACAACCAAGTATTTCTATTGTTAATTTCGCTATAAAAAAAACAAGATCACAAAATCAATTTCGGGAAATGCAATGACGGCACGGTTTTTCTTCCATTTAACACCAGAAATCGTATTGGGTTTTTGAGTTGTACTAAAAATCTTTGACACCCAACTAACTGAATTTCAAGTTTGATTCAATCTTGCTACGAAATCGAAGAGATTCTTGAGAGAGAAAGTCACGAAATCGAAGGGATCATAGAGAGAGAAAGCCTGCGATTTGTTGTTCTAGAAATGGTGCTTAATCAAGCTATGAGTTCTTCAATCTGATTTCAGAGACTTCAGATGGTTTGGTTTATGGGTTTTCCTTTTCTTTGATCATGCTTTATGTTCAGAAATTTCTGGGTTTTTAAGGATAATCTGAAGCAATTCTTTTTGGGTTTTCAAGATTCAAGAATGCGAAATTCTCACACAGTTAACCGCACACACACTCTTGGTTTCTAACGTTTATTTCAAGAAACTTGTGTACAGAGATTAACCCCTTTAGTTCTTCAAACTTCTCACGAGAAATTCTGGGTTTCAGGGGTTATTTCGATTTCACATGGCTACGAAGTTTATGATTTTGTTGGGGTTAATTTGCAGAAAATGGATGACGATCGAATGATTAAAGGGGTAGAAGAATTGGCGACCCCTTCGTATTTGGTGGTTGCTTTAGCTGTCAATGGAAGCAAAAAGACCAAATACGTTGTTAAATGGGCATTGGATAAATTTGTTCCTGAGGGTATGCTTCTGTTCAAGCTGTTCTTCGTCCGCCCTAAAATCACAAGGATCCCAACACCAAGTGAGTTTATTCTGCAAGATTCATTCCATTTTCAGATAATTTCATCTGATAAAACTTACTAGAAAAGGAAATATTCCCCCGATTTCAAGATCAAGATTTTCTGGCTCTTTTTGCAGTGGGTGCTGTTCCTCTTTCGCAAGTTCGAGAGGATGTGGTGATGGCTCACAAGAAGGACGTTGAATGGCAAGCGTACGAAAAGCTTCTACCTTTCAAGAACATGTGTGCTAAGAGAAAGGTTTGATCTTTATCATCATTTCTTGATTATATCGATCGTTTGCAGTATCACGATATAAAGATCTTTGTTTTCGAGTGCAGGTGCAGGTAGAAATTGTGCAAATTGAATCGGATGATGTTGTAGATGCAATAAAACAGGAAATTTCTAAAGGCAATATCAGCAAACTTGTGATTGGAGCTTCATCAAATAGCGTATTCTCGAGGTACTGAATTCGTTTGGAGGTTTTGTTTTCATCATATCTGTTTCTATTTTTTAAACTATGGATGTCCGGACCAGCTTGCACATACCTCCACTTATCCCAAGGGGAGATAACAGCCCGGAAAATTACCAGAAGAGACATGAACTAGCGACCTATGGGTAGGAGATTTGCTGGTTGAGCTAGCCCTCAAGGTTATTATATATGTTGTTTAATATATTAACGTTTCGTGGTGTTTTAGGGGACGAAATTTGTCGGCAAGAATCTCTGAAAGCATCCCGAGCTTTTGTACAGTCTATGCTATTTCAAAAGGGAAGTTATCTTCACTACGCGCTTCTGATTCAGAGACCATCGGATCTACTAACGATGATAGCAACAGCAGTGATTCTAGTTCTGTAACCAATTCAAGTATAGCTCGAACAGGTGACTTTTTGAGGTCAAAGAGACTAATTTCTTACTTCAAATTCAATCTGAATTCTTAAACTGTTTTCAGAAAGATTCATAACCCACTGAAGATTGTAACAATTTCCACAATAAGAAGATGTTGGGTGTTAAATATGAACCAAAATCCATATCAAAATTTGATTTCAGAAAGCTATAGATTTGACCTCAGAAGTCAAAATGTCTATTTATCTGATATGGTTATGATTTCACTGTGTAATAGAGTGGACAGACCAAGGCTCAGCTACTTCATACTCCCAGTTGTTTTCACCTTCACTACCGATGCAACGATTCGAAGCACTTTCATCCATAAACCGAACCCTTCTTCACAAAAGAACCGGTTCGTTAGAAAGTCCCCAAAATAAGTTCACTTCCACAGATGGGTGTGATGGAGATGAAACAACGGTTTCTTATGCCAGTAATCCTGATTATTTTCGTGCAAGCAGTACGCTTTCTAGTAACCAAAGCTTCTTGACCGAAAACCAGTCTTGGACCTCTGATCAAGCTTCCACATCTGGTGCTCCTTCGGAATTTTCATCAGAAATCCAGGTATCTAAAAGTGTTATAATAAGTTGATAAGATGCTTTTGGTGTCCTAACAGTTTCTTATGACACTTTTGACATAAAGTGTCGTATTAATTTTTTTAACAGGACACTTTGACAATTGTCCTGTGAACACATATTCATACAAGACTTAATGAAAAACCAACCAAACAGCTCCTTAGACATGTTTGACGTCTTATAAAACCGATTTTTGTAGTGTTGTGTCACTTCTAAAAGCGTTTTTGGGTTCTTGTAATCTTTAGCACTTGAAAAACTGGCTGTGCAGGCTAACGATATCAACTTTGAGCTAGAAAAACTGAGAGTTGAACTGAGGCACATTCGCGGCATGTATGCGATTGCACAAAGCGAGACATTTGATGCATCTAGAAAGGTAACTTCCATTTCACATTCTAGAATACTTCATTTTTCTAGAAGCTTGTTAGAAAGTTCTAAAACATACTGCCTTGTGTCAGTTAAACGATCTTCAAAAACAGCAACTCGAGGAATCGATGAAACTCAAAGAGTTAAAAGTTAAAGAAGAGGAAGCGGAAGAATTAGCTCGTAAAGAGAAGGAGAAAGCTGAAGCGGCTAAAAGACAAGCTGAATGCGTAAAAGATTGTCTACGAAGAGAAGCTGCTATTAGAAAAGAAGCCGAAGAGAAGGCGTTACAAGAATCTAGAGAGAAACAAAAGCTTCAAGATGCCATAATGGGAACTTCGATTAAGTATCAGAAGTTCACGTGGGAAGAAATCGTGGATGCATGTTCTTCGTTTTCTGAAGATCTTAAGATAGGAGCAGGAGGGAACGGGATCGTATATAAATCGAGCTTTCATCATACCGTTGCTGCTGTTAAAGTTCTTCATTCTCAGGAAGCTCATAGAACCAAGCAATTTCAGCAGGAGGTATGAATCGGAACTTACGTCAAATATGTCTAGATGTCCTAATAGACTGTTTTATAAGGCAGAAATTTATAGAACCAAATTTTTTTTGCATCATGTGGAGTATGACGTTTTTGGACATCCTAACAAGTTTTTTAGGACAATTTTGAAATATAAAATCCTATTAGTCTTTTTACATGACACATTGTCAAAACTTTCCTAAAAAAAAAGGCTAATAGGACACTTTATTTCAAAAGTGACTTAAAAAACTTGTTAGAATGTCCATGCACAATTGTTTGGTGCTATAAACTTTAAGTCTTGTAAAGCAGTCTATTAGGACGTTTAGAAATATTTGACGAACTGTAAAGATGTGTTGTAGTGCTTGTGACATTCTATTTTTAGGAAGTTCTTCACCTTCAAACTGAACCATTTGATGTTGCAGCTTGATGTCTTGAGCAGAATAAGGCATCCGCATTTGCTTATTCTCATCGGTGCTTGTGTCGATCATGGTTGCTTAGTTTACGAGTACATGGAGAACGGGAGCTTGGACGAGAGATTATTCCGCAAAGACGACACACCTCCGCTCATGTGGTTCGATCGGTTTAGAATCGCGTGGGAAGTAGCATCGGCCCTTGTTTTCCTTCACAACGCAAAGCCAAGGTCGATCATCCATCGCGACCTCAAACCCGCAAACATTTTACTCGATAAAAACCTCGTGAGCAAGATTGGTGACGTTGGTCTTTCGACGATGCTTCAATCGGATCCTTCTTCCACATCCACCATTTACAAAGACACTAGTCCAGCCGGAACCCTTTGTTACATCGATCCAGAGTATCAACGAACAGGATTAGTTTCTCCGAAATCCGATGTTTACGCTCTCGGAATGGTGATCTTGCAGTTGCTAACAGCAAAACCAGCAATCGCGCTGACCCATGTGGTCGAAACCGCTATCGAAGATGACGAGTTAGCCAAAGTGGTGGACCCAGAAGCAGGCGAGTGGCCGGTTGACGAGACAAAGGAGCTAGCCGCTTTGGGGTTGAGTTGTGCTGAGCTTCGCCGGAAAGATAGGCCTGATTTGAAAGATACGGTCCTTCCAGTACTGAAACGACTGAAAGAAGTTGCGGATGAAGCTCAACGGATGGCATCGAGGGCTGGAACCACCCCTCCGAACCACTTCGTATGCCCAATACTTAAGGTACGGTTGGGTTAAAACGAGTGAAAGTGTTGGCATTTTGTTCCTTTTTTTTGATGAATTAATGATGGTTTGATACAGGATGTTATGGTTGATCCTTGTGTTGCTGCTGATGGGTATACTTATGATCGCAGGGCGATAGAGAAATGGTTGAAGGAGAGTGACAGTTCTCCGATGACGAATTTGCCATTGGCGAGTACGAGCTTAACCACGAATTACACACTTGTTTCTGCAATCATGGAGTGGAGATCAAGAAAATTATGGTAATTTTTGGGGGTTTTAGGGTTTTTTTTTGTGTACATGTTTTTGTTTGATTGAAAGATAAAGCTGCTATTTGGGTCTTCATACGAACCTTGAATTTGATCTTTTTATATAAATGTACATGTTCTTGGCTCCAAAACATGTTACTTTCTTTCTAGGAGTGGTCAAAAACTCGATCAACCCAACCCAATCCAACATGAAATAACTTAATTTGAAGTAATCCAATATCTAATCGAATTGTAAAATTGTCAAACCGTAGGTATTGGAGTGATATTGGGTTATTATTATTTGAACTCAACCCAACCCAATGAATCCGATATCCTTTTATTTCTTGGATTTAATATGATTGTTGAATTTCTATTAATATGTATATTAGACAATTACACTATCATGTATGCTAATCATATACACATATTTTCAATATATTCACATCTTTATATAACTCATTTGTATATATGTTCAATAACTGTGAACATATATATGTATTTGAGAAAATTAATTGAATGTGATATATGTAAGAAATATGGAAAAGTTATATCAAATGATTGATGATGAAAAAAAAAGTATGAGTAGGAAAATAACATATTCTAGGTTAGAAGAATATTTTAATGTACCAAAGTATCAACCCGACCAACCCGTACGGATTGGGTGGGTTTGGGTTACACTTTGGTTCGGGTTGAGTTGGGTTAAGATTTTTCAAACCGCAAACATTGTGTTGGATTGTTCAAATGTCTTCAACCCGACCAACCCAACCCATGAACACCCTTATTACTTTCGGTTCATTTTATAATTGTTTTTTTACTCAATTGACCAAATTAACTAAAGATTATGTATCATTTAAGAACATCTCCAACAGAATCTTCTAAAAACATGTTATATTGTTTGTACTTTTGATTCATTTTATAACTGTTTTTCTACTCATTTGATTAAAATAACTAAAGATTTTGTATCATTTTAAAACATCTTTGATAGATTCTTCAAAATTGAGAAAATAGAGATTTTAGGTGTTTTTTTTTACTCCAACAGATTTTTTAAAACGTTTAACAAAATGGAGAAAGTATGAGAAAGAAAATAAAATTTTCTTCAAAAACGAAGAATTCTCTAAAAATAATTACTCATGAGTGAGAAATAATATTTTTTTTATTAACCTGAATATCCAACCCATTATGCGAGCACACTAATCTCAGGACGACTATATGCTTTACAAATAGCCTGGAGTCACCACATTTGAACCTCCGTGACTATAAGAGGATTTTTATTTCTCCTTGAATTTGAAACTAAAATTTTTATTATTTCTATCGATAATATTTTTGGAAATCAAGTGAATTGAGGGGTTCAAAAATAGTATTTTGGACAATTTCACCATCGAACCAAAAAGTGGATGCTTGCATGCTAACAATTATGCCAGAAATGCAAGTGAGCATAAAGAAATGAAGTACAATTTATGTTACTTAAACAAGACTCGTAATTGCCGATTCATTTTCGCCAATAATATAAGCATCTCGTTATCGAAATAGTACGAGATAATGACAAAATATAGGAGTGTCACGAGCTACGTCCATCTAGACGACGGCTCCTGCCGCTAAAAGCTCCTCCATTTGGTGGTGGCGTGCTTGTTTCGGCCTCCCGAATATCCCTCGCTTGACCCCTTGTTGAAGCACCCGAGGTTCCACCGACACGAAAGCCTCTCCCTCGGAAAGCAACGCCGGAGGCCGGATCTCTCCGAACCGGACTATTCATTTGGTATCCCTTACCCCAATACGCAACGAGCTTGTGACTATAAAACAAGGTTTAAGGACAACAAATAACCAAACATACAATAAACCAAACAAATCCAGTATATCGCAGATAAGGTCTAGAAGATTAAGATATACGCGGATCTTGCCTCTATCCCGAGGTATAATGAAAACAACAAAATCGACCCACGATTTGGCCATTGTGATCATCGATGTTTGTTTTTGGTCACTTGAAATTTGCAAAAAGTGAAGGAAAATTGCAAGGATACACCCAAAAAGGAGTCTTGCAGAAGTTGCTGCCACCAGCAAGGGGGTGAAGAACTGTCAAGAAGTAGTACAAATGGCCAACACCAATTCCTAATAAACTTGGCATCAATTGTTTTCCAATCACCATATCTATAGCAACCATAGCCCAAGGTAAATAGAACCCCTGAATTCTCATTCACAAAACAAACAAACAAAAAGGGATCAAAATCAATCATTCTTTCATAATGAATATTCATGTAATTCATTATGAATATTCATGACATTCATAATGGATATGCATGCATTGACCCTGACTCGAGTAAAGCTTCACAAATAAGAGAATCAAGATACCTTCAACTCTACAAGACCTTGAATGTTTACACGTGTGTTAGGGAGCTCGCGACTCCACACATAAACGATCATGAAAACCAATGAAGATCCCATGAATGGAAACCAGAAAAATGGAATGGCAGCCACAGCCTAGAAATATGCCATTAGTCTAACTAAAACAAAACATTGAAAGAAAAAAAAAGATGGGCAATTTGCTAGCATACCAGTAGCGAAAACGCTCCAAAGAAAAACATCCATACATAATCTGCTGTCCTCTTGTCGAAAGGACCTCTCTCTAAAGAAACCCCATATCGTAATCTGGAACAACCAACACTAACTTTACAGAAAAATCTCAACTTTAAAGAAGATCTCAAAGTTATGATGAGATTAGGGGATGTTTACATGATCCATAGGCGAAAAGCGAACGACAAAGAGAAAGATCCGATGAAGAGGAAGTTAGTTAAAACCCTCCAAATCTGCACCACAGAAACATTAGTGGTTTCACTATCTGGGTAGCTGATGACGCTTTCGAAATTTGCATAAAACCCAGTGATCTTTACCTGTAACTTCTTGAAAACGTCTCCATAAAAGAGAGCCATGATCCAGGGGTCGTAATACGGAAACACACAGGCTGCAGCCATTATAAAAGTGACTGTCGCATATGTCTTGGCCACAGGCGGTAAGGAATTATAATACCTGGTTATATTGAGCGTATTTCAAGTGACGTAAAAAAGACCAATCTTTTGGAGAAATAAATCAAGATCCCTGATTTTTAATACTCGTAACATGTCCCATATACAAAAAGAGATTATAATCCCACATAGATTGGTCATAACATCAATCTCACTAAAATCAACCCATTTTGGAGAACTAAATCTTGTTTTCTTAAATTCTTTCAGACAAGTATAGATATTTATAAACACCATCAAACAAGGATGTTTGTTCTAGCTCCTGTTATGGAACGATTTCAGAACCCGGAATACACAAAGATGATAGACTTCCTAAGAATTAGATGGTTAAACAGAGAAAGAAAGAGAAGGGGACTTACTCCTTAGGGGTAGCCATTGTTGATGATGGAAGTTGGTTCTTCTGTAACTAATCAAGAAATCAACGAAATGGCATTTATATAGTTAAAATGAATCATTAATTTTGGGAAATTTTCAAATAAGACTTTGGGATCATCACAGGGCCCAAAGAGAAGTTGGATCAAGCCAGTTGTCAACGGAAGCTCCTTTGGCACAGAGTAAGCATCGCTTTCTTGAATAGGTCAAGCTGCAGTCTTCTTCACGTTAGTCATAGTCTTGGTGGAGCACTAAAAAGAGGGTCGACTCTTTCAGTTGACTCAGGGTCAAGCGACGCAGTAAGGAAAGAAATGCCCAAAATACCAAAAAAAAACCACATAGGTAGGGTCTGAGGATAGGATGTACGCTAACTTTTCCTCTACCCTAACGGTTAAAAAAAGCCAGAATAAAATAAACAAAATTCTATTAATTTTTATGATGATTTTGGTATTTAGGTTATAGTTCAGAATGTCTATAATGTTGCCACAGAAATGAGCAATAAAACGAACACGAAAAAAAGGGTCTGCAACAGGTAATGGTGCTTGTTCCTGTATTTACATTAATAATGATTTACAAAGAAATACACGTGAAGCATCATAAGAAGGAGAAAGATAAGGGTATAGATACAGCAGGGGTAGAAGTGTCAATTTCTCATCCGACCAATCTACGTTTCAGGGCCAGAAGCAAACAAACTAATAAGGCCACGAAAGACTTGTGCAGAGAGTTTTTGTGCTTTAAGGATCTCGCCATCCACATTCCACACGCTCTCCTCCCCAGAAGAAGTGAATGTGAAAGTTGTAGTCTGTGGAAATAAACGAAATGTTAAAGAACAAAGCGGATATTGTTTTTATTCAGAAAGACCAAAAGAAACCATACTTTATGGTGTTCAACGAAATCAAAATTCAGAGGGGTTCCACCCTTTCTTGCTAACTGGGTGAGATGCCTGCATATGCCAATCAGCCCATCATTAGTCATCCATTCACTCTCTCTGTACCACGTTTGGCAATTGAGTTGAAAAAATAAAGAAAATGCATCAGATAGTATGATTTTACCATAGATAGAAAGCATGAGAGCAATCTTTGATCAAAACAAGATGCAAAAACCCATCTGAAAGGTGTGCATCAGCAACCAAACCATCGGGTGCTCTTTCATTTCGACAAGAGATTACAGCAGCCCCAATGCTAAGAAACCGTCCTTTAACTCTCACCCAATTTGATTCTTGATGCGGGTCTGGTGTTTCTATTTGTGGGATGGCTGAACTAGTGTTACAAATATCACATTTAGCACGACAAGGCAGTCTTTCCGACTTTTTAGATAAGCCCCAAAAAGTCTTTATCCTTCTTGCATTGGCACCCACATTCGGTTTTTCTGATTCAACTTTCATATATGCTACTTTGGCCTCATATGACCTAACAAAAAGTAAACAAAACTAGGCTGAAACAACATATCAGTAGCAGATATCAAGTTACTAAAACAAACATGTAGGTGAATACCTGTGCCTGAGGAACACCTTTGTCCCTGCATAATCATATCGCTTTGGCCCCATCCAGCGATATTTCTCGCTCTCTGTAATCACATCTCCATAAAATCCATAACTGGCAAGATCCAAGAAAAAGAGAAAGTGTAAAGCACACATAAAGAGAGAAAAAGTTCCAATTCTTTCTGAAGAAAATGCCAAAAATAGTCTTTACCCAGCAAAGGAAGCTGCATAGCGTACAAGAGGCTTGTTCTTGGACTTGCTTGACTTTTCCCATCTCACGACTTGAGCTATATCAAGAGATACCCTTTTACCCAAGATAATTTGAAGCGCTGACGTCATAGGATCCCGAACTCCAGTTGTGCTGATGGAAAGTGCAAAAAGTATCCACATAAAAACTTGAAGTGAAAAAGGGAGATTCGTAGAAAAGAAAGATGCGAGAAATTACCATATTACAATAGCATCAGTGGAACCAGAAGGAATCAGTCCAAATCGAAATCGCTCATTTGGGAAAGATATTTCAGAATCTTGATCTGCTTAAATCAAAGACAGAAGTAGTTGCTACAATAACATAACATGGAAAAGAGTCCCACATATATTCATACTATAAATGTAGATGATCTAACCTTTGTTGGAAGAATTACTTCCGATGCCTGCAAGCCAGATGCATGGTAATAAGTGCATAATCCACAATCAATAGAAGCAAAAATGAAGGCTCGTGTAGAAAAGTGCGTACTGAGATCTATGGCTTGTGATTGATCGAGTGGCGGCCTTAAGAGAAGAGCAGACTCATCCTCACCAGAAACCGAAGGCTCCACAACAGTTACAGTTGGATCATGAAGCAATACGTTACTTTCTGTTTCAACAGTTTGATCATCATCTGGAGGGGGAGGTGGATAAGGAGCTCTATGTCTTGACAAGAGAATTCCGTTAAGAATCTCGTTAAAAAATCCATCACCACCCTAAACCTCATCAGTTGATCAAAGAACAAATTAATAGGATTTGAAAATTTTGTGGCTTTTGTATCAATATCATAAAATAGATACCAGCTAGTAGCTATAGAGGGAAGTTATGAGGAAAAACCCCCCAAAAAAATGAAAACTGAGGAACACACTGGTGACTATTCATCTGGACAGTATGCATATGTGCCTACAAGTAATTGAAGTTGTTTCTTGGTTTTTTTATGCATATGTGCATGTTATGCACAGGTGCATACTGGACAAATTGCTTACAAATTACTTGCATGTGCATATCGTCGAGGTGAACGGTTAACAGGGTGTTCCTCAAATATTCATTTTTTTGCGGTTTTCCCTTGAACCTGACCGGGTAACTATATTTGTACAAAAAAGGAACTATGAATTCTGAAGTTCTAAAAAATGCCAATTTGGGAATAGAATACTCACGACAGCTACAACTCCGTCATACAAATTAAGCTCCCTGTTTGTCATAGAAGTCACAGCCTCAAAAGCATGCCCAGCCCTTTCTGTAACAATAACCTGTAGAAAACACTTCATCAACATTTTGGCTAGGTTTTATATCAGCATTGAACTTAAAAATTCTCATATTGAACGTGCTAAGTTTTATATCAGACATGAACCTTTGTTTTCACTTTGGCTTGTGAAAAGATAGGAGCTAAACTTTCCCAAGTTCGACAACCATTTCCTTTTCCACTTCCCGGATGAACGTAAACCTAGTAAACATAAATGAAACAAACAGTCAAACAATTTTCTTAAACCATGTTTTCAGCAAGATGGAACAGTGGGAGTACAATTAATAGAACATACCAGAAGATTCTTAGGCCGGTCGGTTTCCATGCTTAGAAAAGTTTTCATCCTGTTCACCCACATTAGACATGTTTGCTTATCCACATGACCAAAAGTGTACACAGTTGGAGCCCAAAGAGAAGGCTGAGACTTGGACCTCTCGACACCATGCACCGTGAAACGATACATCTACGAGCAGCGTATGCAAGAAACTAATCACTTTCAGAAGAAATTAAACACAACAATCGAGCAATCCCCATATCCATAAAGGTGTGAACTTTCTATAAGGAACGGACTTTTTAGGATTAGGATTGTCTAGAAAATTATCAAAAGACTGCTTCAATGTAAAATTAACTTTTGGCACACATTGATCCTTGAGGTAGCTTTTGGTAGGCATACATGATTGGAACCGAATTAGACATAACAAGTTGTTTGTCTGGTTTTTGGTATGACTAGGACTAGATAAGTTTCCCATAGAAGTTGTCTGATGGTTTTATATATTAGTAATTTTTTAGTTTCTGTCCATCCTTGTCCCATCTTGTTCCATCAATTTTGGTGGAACTAAAAAAGCTATTTTTGTCCCATCCTGTCCCACCCATTCCCAGCCCTTCTCCCTGGTCCATGTCGTGCCAAACATGGAACATTGAGTTTTTGTCCTGTCCCATGTCGCACCAAACGTGGGACAGTGAGTTTTGTCCTCTCCTGTGTAGTCCAATGTACCAAACGCAGCATGAGGATATGGTGTGATGGTGTCATAAAGAGTGACAAAGGAGTAACAAGAAATCTAGAGATATGACTAAAACTAACCTCAGATGAATGACCCAATAACAATCCAGGGTTTGTGAGAAGGGTTTCATGTACCAACCCCCAATCTATAAATTCAACAGTGTACACATCTGAAATGTTGATTGAGGTATCACTTTTGGAGACAATTTGTATTCCTAAACAAGTTGACCCATCTGCCTGGTCCTTCAGCATAACAACAACAACAACAACAAAACATGTAAGGTCAATCTCATGAAATGGTTCGATTAGCATCTAAACATGTGATGGGTACCAATCTTAAAAACAAGAAACAAAATGTTATATGCTTAAAACTACTAATAGGAAAATAACCAGCATCTATTTCATCCATCATCCATGTAAATTAACAAGCCATTTTCCACGATTACAATTGCATAAATTGTACCACAAGCATTCAAGATTGATGAGAATTATTGACATAATAAACTACAAAGTTTCTTCATCCATATCAATTAGAAACAAAGAAAAATCTAGGATTAGGTTTCGAAATGAAATTGGAGAGTAATAGTGGGGAGAAGGGAGCAATTCTTGATATCAATTTTATAACTGCTAACAGACTACTGTTATCCCTCAATTTAACTGCTGTCTGAACGAATTCAGACAAGTATCAACCAAACAGTTTAATAAGAAACTAAAAACTCAGAAGACAAGAAAAACAGTCTAAGATAACCTGGAAAAACTAACATTGCAAAGGGATTCCATTAATTTCCATGATAACCCGTCTGGTTTAAGGGTAAGAGAAACCTCTCCAACATGATCCAAGAAGAAATTCGAAGTCAAAATCGACGGTTCTTCACCACCAATATATTGGGTATTTGCTTGAGAATCATCGTCTCTCATGAGAGAGAGAGAATCCATATCATGTAAAACCCACAAAAGCAAAAACGAAGTAACAAAATCACAAAGACGGGAAATAGTGTCTTCAAAATCTCTTGAAAAACTAAATCTTGAAGTCAAAACTAACGAAACAGGGGTACACCAGTCAAACCCTTGATTTGTTTTTTAATGGAAGGATCTATATCAAGGTTTGCTGCGGATTTACAGGGATCATACGGGTGAGAGAGGAAGAGAGATTATCAAGAAACAATAAATGTTTTTTACTTGACCTCAGACCATATTAAGGGTTATTTGCGATGGTTTATTTACAACGCGTTATTACCGGTTTAACATCGATATAAGTTAAAAGATTTAATCGTTTAACTTTTTCAAAAAAAAATTATTATTAGTTTAACATCGATATAAGTTGTTTATTCAAATACCTAAAAATGTTTATTATTGATGTCACATCAAAATAAGTCAATAAGTTATTTTTACAAACAATTTTAAACAAATTTCAAGATTTTAGAAAATTTGGGGTAAATTTTTAAAATACGTTTTTATTATTTTTTTTAAGTTACAGAAAAAAAACGTGATTTTTTAAATAATTCCTAAAAAATTACGAATACATCTTCAACACTTCAATCCACCAATGAAACCATTGTAAATAAAAATAGAGATCTTTAAAAAACGAAAGAAATAACATAAATCATGAATTAATTAAATCCTCGTAAATATTATAAATTTTGATTTTATTTATGAAAATTTCATAAAATATTATATTAATAAAAATAAAAATCTTTGAAAAATTTATATTTTATTAAATAATATAAGTAATATTATAGACTTGGAAATAAAGAGTCGATTAAAATTAAATGCAACTTTTTGTTTATATAAAATTTTAATTTTAGAAATTTCTTAAAAGATCCGTTAAAGTTGCATTCAACAGGAATAAAGTAAACAAACAAGAAAGGGTCTTTTTTTGGGTTTCGTATGCGACAATGGTTTCTCTTAGTCTCGTCTATGGGCGAATTTCTACTTTTTGGTTTAACAAATTAGCATTTGGTACACAGACATAATTGGATATGACTAGACATAACAAAAGTATGTATGATGTTTGGTACGACTAGGACTGGACGAGACAGAATTAAACAAACTACCCCCAAAAATTATTTAATGATTTTAAACATTATATAATAGTTATAATTAACATAAATAAAGTAAATAATTAAATAATTTAATTTATAAATATTTGTACGTAATTTTCATATAATTGAATACATACATATATAATGGTACCAAATTGAATGAAATTTTTTATATAATTGATGGTAATGGTAATGGTGGTGGTGGAGGTGGTTTTGACTATGGTGGAGGTTGTGGTGGCCGACGGTAGTAGTGGCAACGGACAGTGGTGGTTATAGATGACATGAAGATGGTTATATAACAAACTATAGTAGATTAGTAATATTTTAGTTTATGTCTCATTCTTATCCCACCTATTTTGGTGGAACAAGAAAAAACCTCTTTTGTCTCATATTGTTCCAGTTCTTGTTCATGTTTCTATGTCACGCCAAACGTGGGACAATGAGTTATTGTTCTGTTTCATGCTGCGCCAAACATGGAACAGTGAGTTTTGTCCCACCTGTCCTATCCCGTTCCATATACCAAACGCAGCTTAAATGCTAAATATTTATTTAAATTGTTTTTAAGTTAAATGCATCAAATAATAAATTGTTTTTATTATAAAATTGTATTTTCATATTTTTTTTAATTATAACAATATATTTTTGAATTGTTTTTTAGTGCATTATATTTTAAAAGATTTACCTATTATAATAATCGGTATCTAGAAAAAAAAATTACATATTTCATGAAAATTGTAGATTTTTTATTAAAAATGTATTTGGAAAAAACTTATAGAAAACTTGATAATATTTTTTGAATTTATTAAAACAAATAAATCTAAAAGATATATAATTTTTTTATTTATGTGACTGATATTTTTCTTCTCGTCTTCTCATAAATTAGTTTGTTTCTCGCATAATCCTCCTTCATATATAATAATCTATAAATAAAATTACTGAGGTTTTTGTAAGAACTTGCATTGTGGAGTTTTTTTTATTGAGGTTCTTATTTTGTTAATGTACCAACGATGTGGTAGGAAAAATATGACAAATGAGGTTCTTAGAAGTTCCACCACTATGGATGCTATTACATATCATTTAAACAAGAAACTTACGTCCATCCAATTAAACATCTGACATCGACTTTGAATTCCCGTTGGAGGATGAGGCCTTTTCATTAAAATGAGTCAGTATCCAGATGATGATGTCAATAATTTGATGAATGAATTTCACGAGTGATTGTATAATATATTAAATAGAATCTTTCTAACATATCTTATTGTTCTTATATACAGCATTTCACACGTGAAAAGACTACGTCTGTTTATAGTTAGTTATCTATCAACTTTTACTGTTATTAATTAGTCAGGTTCATGCAAATGAATGAGAATGAAAATGAAAATGACTGAGAATGAATTTTCATTCCCCCCATCTAACTTGGAACGAAAATTTGAGCTCTAGAGGAATGAGTTCATTATATTATATAAAACAAAAAAAATTATTGCAACATGTTTATAACAAATAATTGTAGAATAAGCTCACTAAAGGCTTAAGGATACACAGTGATGACCTCGACGTCATCCATAGTCGGGCTTCTCACCGAGTACTGAAACGTCCATCCATAGCAGGCACCGGCATGCACCCCATTCTTGTCGACTGCAAAGATAGCGCCGATGAACTTAGGATACTTCCTTGCTATTCGTGATATTGCATCTTTTGCAGCAATCCTTGGTTCCATTCCTAATCGCATACTCTCCACGACTTGATAACTGAATTAATCAATTTTTATATACAAATCAAAGATCAACCTCATACTTTTTTCGCAAGATGGTCTTTTTGAAAACAATGCTTCTACTCTTCGAGATAGAGGACAGGTCGACATACATCTCACCACCCCGGACCCTGTTTTGTCTTTTGGGGGCTGCTTACTTGTATAGTGTCCATAAAATAAAGAATGAAGCAAAATAATGCATATGATCAAACAAGACCAAACGCCCCCGGAAAATGTAGAACGATTGTTTCTATTAATGGACATTCTTCAACCACAAGGATGATGCCTGATTGGTTTGAGTTTGGCTCAAAATGTCAAAAGTACTAGAAGGTCCCAGGTTCAAATCCAAGGAGGAATAAAAATCCCTTGTGGCCACGAAGGTTCAAATGCGGTGACTCCAGGCTATCTGCAAAGCAGGTGGATGCCCTGGGATTAGTCGGCTCGCATAACGGGTTGGATATCCAGGTTAATAAAAAAAATGCAACTTGGCATGTGAGCATGTGTGTTTGTGTGTGTTCATGGTATCAATATTTTCAACATATATCTATACAGATGACATATTCTAGTATCTGAATATGATGGTTTGTGCAGTTAGCAGCTTAATGAGCCTAATAGGACTCACAACTTATTCGTTTAGCTATATAACTGTATGGTAGTGGCTTAATGTCACTTATTTAGTAAGATTCTTGGGGGAAGTTTTACGCGGAAAGTCAAGTTTCTTCCTAACTTGTCCCTCCCAGTTAAAAAGCACGCTCCTTCCATCTAATTTATGCAGACAGATTAATCTACACAGACAACTTTATTCATATAGGACTTATTGGAAAACCAACCAAACAACCCCTTACTCTTGGAGAGAGAACAGGCTAATGTTTAAGATTACCATGGCAAGAAACGCATCATAATATCACCATCACCAGTTGCACCACAAGCTCCAACTTCGTCATCAGCATACGAAGAAGATCCAGCAATCGGTCCATCACCAACCCTACACTAAATAAGTAGGATAAAACACTACATAAGAATGTAAGATGCTTATATCCAAACAAAATTTACAAAAGTCCAATCTCAGTCAACTATCATAGATGTAAGTGTGTGACTGTGTGAAATGCCTACATATCCATTTGAATTCTAACTCATGTGACCTTAATGTCATCAAATATTAAGAGCATCCCATGATCAGGAGTCAGGACTACCGAAAAGCCAAGACTACTTGAAAAAGAATCACGATATAAAATGCATACCTGCCAGGGATCTTAAAACTCGCACCATTGGTTGATGTACCAACAGCAATGTGTCCAGACTGAAACCACAACAAGATTTGATGAAAGAAAAGATTGCATTACTAAAAGAAACCAAGAAAACAAGAATGAAAAAAAGCAACGTACTTTATCGAATATTGCCATGGATATTGTGTCATGGTTGTGCAGATTCACATTAGATGATTTTATTTTGTCCTCCACCAAACATGTCTTCTGATCAAGATTTACATCTTTTCTCAGATGATAAGGACCACAGCTGTTGATAGGTACAACATTTTTCCTAAAATTAGGTTGGCATTGATTTTCTTTCCATTTAGCCCACTTTTCCATTGATTCTGTTGAGCTAAGATTTGAAGGTCCTGGAAGACCCATTGAAATGGCAAAGGCTGATGCTTGATCTCCAGCAAGCATAGTGTGTTCTGTGTGAAGCATTACCAATCTTGCAGCTTTTATGCCATCTTTCACATATCTCATGGCAGCAACAGCTCCAACCTCCATTGTTGCCTATATGAATCTTACCAGTCCCAATATACAGTGCAAAGTTAATGGCTTTTAAACAAAATTAAAAAAATGGGCAGCACCAAGATTCAATTCTCTGAATTCATTTTGGGTTTACTCCAATAAAGAATTTGTGATATCATGGAGAAAACCCAAAATCATCAACTGGGCATAGTAGCAATGTTAAGTGTTGTTACCCCATTCATGATTAAGGCATCAATTGTAGTTTCACTGTTCTCATCTGGACTTCCACCAGGTCCAACTGTTCGATATAATAATTTTTTCATAAAATACAAATTTCAGTAATGATGAACACATAAATGAATCGTTTGGTTTGAAGAAACCCACCTGTACCATCACATCTAAGTACCTCACAAGCTGAACAACCCTCTACAACTGCATCAATGGACGATAATCCATCATTGATAGCCTTCCATCCAGCTCTAACAGCTTCTAAGAAGGGCCAAGTGCTTATTACTAATGGAAATTTACTGGAACTTTCAACCTCCTGTCCAGTTACCTAACAAAAAAAGAAAAACTTAATGGTTTTGAAGTTGAAGATCGACCCGTTTGACCTTCAAAGGTCAAAATTGAGCCTTAATTAATTCCATTTCTGAAAAGAAATTCACAAATTATAGTGTATATTTTCTCTAGGTTTTCCTCTGTGTAGTCGATATTCATCTGACTTTCCAATTCTTGCAACAGACATAAACTGGTGATATGATCAGACAACATACGTAAAAGTAATAAGCTCAAATCGAGTGAGGTGTTACCTCTGATTCAGACAACAGTAGTTCATACCCAGAAACGATTAAGACATAACCGGAAATCGAGTCTCGTACCCATAAACAGACATATGCAGATATAAGAAATTACCGTGGATAGCAGCAGGGCGATGAGAAGGAGATGCAAGACGGCAGCCATTTCCAGCGCAGACGGATGGGAGTGTTTACCGATGAAGTCCACCTGGCTTCCCAGCAGAGGGAATAAAAGATGTTTCAGTAAGTTACAAGTTTAGTCCCGGAACTTATGATCAATCTGCAGATTTAGTACAATTGTGATATTTTTGCATCTTTAACCATATTTAGATAGGACTAGTTTGAAAAAATCCAATAAACTTTAGTGTTTGAATAATTAAGTTGTTAGACAATTTTTTAGAACAAATAAGTCCTTAGACATTACAAAACATGTTAAATAACTTCTTAAACTTTTTAAAACATGTTAGATACATTTTTGTGACTTATACAACTGGTTAATATGATAAAATAATAAAAAAGTCTGGGAAAAAAGCCAATGGACTTTTATATTTTTGACGATTAAGTTCTTAAATATTTTTTGAACTAAAAAAATACTTACATTTATAAAATAAAATAAATATACCAAAAAAGTACTTACATTTAAAAAAGATTGTTGATGAAATTTATTTCAATTAGAAATAAAATATATTATGTTAATGATTTTTTAAATAAA